ATTACATTTTAAGATTTAATTACTAACTTATGTGATATTAAAAGTTTGAAAAATGAAGAGAACATTCAAACAAATAACAGCATATATTACAAATTTAAAAAGAAATTGAGAGAAAAAGAATCATATATTAGAAATTTAATATAAATATTTTTTTGCGACAATTTTATTTTATGTGCATATACAATTGATGTTTATATAAGTGTAGGAAAGCTATTTTCGCAAAAGTATTATTATTATTTTACTATAGCAATTGAAAAGAAATACGTTTCGTATACAGACAATACTAATAATTACTTGCTAAGATACTATTAACGTTCCATAGTTGACATGTGAATTATAGAATAAATTCAATGTCTGCAAAATTATAGTCTATGGTGCACCTGAATTCCTGGTCGTTACGAAATTTTTATTAATAATTTGCATAACTAGTCAAGATTATTAGTGCGACTTTCTCGCAATTTACTTGGAAAGATAATACTTGGAAAATATTGTTTACTTAGTAAATATTATTGCTGCACATGACTTAAAGCCAATTTGATTCGATGCTAATCAAAGATGTTTAGTTTCTTTATCTAAGTGCTAGCAACTCAACAGTTTATTAATTAGATCAAATAGTTATGCAAATTGATTTAATTGCGTAATTTTAAATTTGTTTTTAATTACCCTCCACACTATTTATACATATTATGTATAATATATAGTATATAACCATTCTTATACAATATATACATATATCAAATCTTCCAAATATAATTTTTAAAATCAGATTTATCTAATTTAATTTTTTCTTTTTTTACTATCTCATAGATATGATGTATAATATTTTAAAGAATGTTAAAATGCATAGCATCATAATAACAAATTGGAATAACAATCGATATTTGTGTATTGTTTTATGTTATTAATCTTCCTCATAAAATTTTACATATTTTTAATAGAAAATTTTTATAAATCGCGCACGAGAGCAACATAATTTAAGTTGTAAATACAAATAATTTTAAGTTATAATTAAAATCAAAATATTCAACAGATAACACAAATTGGATCAATTATCAAATTTTTTTCATGTTACAATAATATTTTATATGTGCACTAATATATATATA